ATGGACCAGGGCAGAGCCCAGGATCAGCCCCACACTGCCCATGTGCCACACTTGGGAGTACTCTGTGAAGTGTGGCATGCCCACTCACTCCAGCTCTGTGTGCACCAGATTCTGGAAATGAGGCAGTGCAGTGGCCATGTAAAGCAGCCCTAAGTGCTTCTCATAAGTTTTTTGTCTGCAATGTGCTTCCTGGGACGTGCACAGTGCTGTGCCAAGGCAGGCACATGTTCTCACTTTCAGGATCTGATGCACATGAAATGTGCTGCTTGATGGTGGCACAGAGGCAGTGCAGGCTTGCTTCTTTTCTTTTAGGTGAGTCGTAAAGCACCTTGCACATAGTAGGCTCTGCAGGAATAACTCGGATAGTCCTGCTGTTGCTGGGCACTGTGCTTGTGTGTGGAGCACTGAGAGAGAAATCTCAGCAAGGTGCAAACAAAAACCCTGAAGAACACCAAAGAACTGTCCAGCTATGTTGACCCCAGGAAAAACAGTGAAGGTACAGAAAGATGTATGTGGCATAAAGTGGGGGTTGGGATGCATGACTCCCCAGGCCTCAAGAGAGTCATGCGCACACTTTAGTACAGTGCTTAGAGAGCCTCTGAGGAATAATGGCACACACAAAGGTGCTGCTACTTACCAATGAGCTGGGCTTCCAATGAGAAACACCCCTCCTCCCCCAGCATCAGTGTGAAGAATGGTTTGACTAGGTTGGGTCAGTGAGGTGAAATCATGAATTCTTTAGACTACAAAGAGAACACATCCTGTGGAAACGGCATGCTGCACAACAGAGAGCCTCCGGGTGCTGACAAATTTCCTGTGTTCCTGTTAGTGCAGTACTGCTGTCTAGCATGGTCACTAAATCCATCGCTTGACTTGAAAGAATAGGTACTGTGTGCTATTTAGGTGAAAATGAGTGATGAAGCAAGTATACAACAAGGGAGAGGATCTAGAGTTAATAATAGCAATGCTACTTCTAATCCTCCCCCACGTCCACACGATCAGATGGAAACACACAAGCTACATTCACATCAGTCTGGGAGGATTGCCTAGCAGGTACCAAGGAGAGATATGGTTAAGGCACTGAACTGAGACTCAGGTAAGCTGGGCTCACTTCTGAACTGCCTTTATGGCCACCTGAAAGTCGCTCAACTCCAGATCCAAATCAGTAGATTAGGTCCTTGTCTGGGGCTTGGAATGAAGTTAAGTGCTAGCAACCACAAGCCCCAAAAATGTCTAAACTCACTTAGTTCCTACACTTTGGTGCAAAAAGATACATAGGCGCCTGAACTTAGGCTTTTGAGAAGTAACCCAAGTCCAGGGTTGCCAACCCAAGAACATGTTTTCACTGACAATTGTAAAGATTTTTATTGATGGCCAGACTTTTTTACTGATTTATGTTATACATAGTGTAAATGTAACTCTTCTGCTAGGCCTTGCCCTACTGCCAGGCCCTAGTTTAAAGGGCTGGGTTCAAATTTCAAGGTTTAACATCAAACATAGCAAAAAGTATAAAGTTTGGTTGTCAGTAAACAGTTTGCAGTAAAAAAAAATATTCAGTTGGCAACTCTGCTTGACAGCACGTATGGTTTTACAGGGTGGGGGTGATTAAGGGCCCCCTAAGTACTGCCTATCCTGAAGTCCCTGACTGCACCCTGCATCATGTTTCCCACATCCCAAGCTCACCCCCTAGTCCAGGATGGGCAACTATTTGGGCTGGAAGGCCACTTAGGGAGTTTGGCGAGGTACCGCAGGCCAAGTCCTGCCTCTCCCAGCCCTCAACAGCTTACCCAAATTCCCTAAGTGGCTCTGCTCCAGGGCCCAGCCCTGCACTGTCACCTCCCCAAGATCCTGGCCCCAGTCCCACCTGCCCGTCTTGCTCCCAAACACTACTCTGTGCTCCACCGCAGCCCCATCCCATCCACCTGGCCAGGTGCACCCTGCCCACGTGGGACCCGGGCCGGTATCCGTGGCACTCCCAGCGGTGGATGTGGGGCAGACAAGCTGGGGTGCTCAGGCAGTGGGGCCAGCTTTGGCAGTAGTGACAACACTGGCAGCAGCAGCCAGAAGAAGTGGCCACCACTGGGGCTGCTGAGAAGTGGAGTCCGGCCATCATGCCACTCCAGCCCTGCCCTGCAACCAAGGGTGGTGGGACCAGTGCAGGTGTCATGGCTGGGACTTCCCCCTGCACCTAGGCTGGGTAGGGCTGAGCGACCTGCCACAGGCCTTATTAAATCCTTTGGCAGGCTGAACTTTATACACCGTTTCAATTTAGGGGCTTCTGTCACTGTTACAGAACAGGGGCAGGCATCACTGAGGAAAAAAAATAAAAGTGGTGAGGGGTCTGATCTTTCTTGTTTTTCTTGCAGAGCCTGCCCACCTCTCTCATGGCTTGGGCAGTGAGCTGCCGGTTGCCCCTGAGCTGCAGGGGGTCTCGGACCTTCCCTCCGCAGCAGTGGCACCCCCCAGGCAGCACCCACCTGCTAGCAGCCCACCCAGGAGACCCTGGGGGGCACTGCTGCTGCAGAGGGAAGGTCTGCGAGAAAAGAAAAAAGAATCGGGCCCCTCAATGTTTTTTCTTGGCAGAGCCTCCCTGCATGAGCTGCCACCGGGTTGTGCAGCCCCTGAGCTGCAGGGGGGTTGGGTACTTCCCTCTGTGGCAGCGGCACCCCCTGGGGCTGCCTGGGCGGGGTGCTAGCTGGATGGGTGCTGCCCTAGCTCACAGGCAGCACCCAGCCCAATCCAACAGTGCATGGGGCACTGGAAGCCCAGGTGTGCTCTGAGAAGCTGGGGCTTGGCAGGCTTCCAATGCCCTGTGCACTGTCCTGGCTGCCTGGGACTACCTGGGAATGGGCTGGCTTGCCCCTGGGGCAGTGCAGAAAGGCAGCAGGAGGGCAGCTCGGTGAGCTGGTGGCCAGAGAAGGTGGCAGAGACAGTGCACAAGGTGCTGGAAGCCTGCCAAACCCAAGCTTCCACGACCATGCCTGGGCTTCCCTTATGTACCATCCCTGCCACCTTCCTCAGCCACCAGCACACTCAGCCGCCCTCCTGCCACCTCCCCATGCTGCCCCAGGGACAAGCTAGCCCATTCCCAGGGCAGCACGGAGAGGCGGCAGGAGCTGTTTGACATGTACACACGACAGATTTTTTTGTCCACAATGGGACAATTTGCCATGACCAAACTAAAACACATCAGCGGTGGTTTAAATTGCCACACGCAAAAAAAAAGTTGACAAAAAACCTGCACGTGCACATGGTGATGCCATTATGCTAGTCAAATGGCGATTTCTCGTCACTTTTCATCATGTGTACAAGCGCCCCCTGAGAACAGAATGGAACAGTGATTGAAGGGTTCTCAAATAAAGACTCCTGAACTGTTGTTGGAAATGATTAATACATTAACACCAATGAAAATGATACGCTGATGGCTGGAAAAATGGAGATAACTTATTTTCTGAATAACATTGGGCTGTCTCTGCAGCTCTCTGAAGTGGGAAAGAAAATCTGGGAATCCTTTAGGTCCTGATCCAAACTCATTGAAATCAGTGGGAGCTATCCCATCAATTATAATAGGTTTTGGATCAAGGCTGCACTTCAGGAATGGAATAAAATGTTAATTGGCTTAAACTATTTGTGTTTACTTTTCCATCATCTAGAGTTTGACTGTATCCAGGATCAAGAGCAGTCTTGCAGACGTTTACACACGTACTTAACTTTACTATATTGTGAGTAGCCCTATTCCTGGGAGTAAAGTGAAAGCAGGTGTGTGTAGGAGTTTGCAGGATGGGGACTTTAGTAATCTGGATCACCTAAACCAGTGGTTCATAATCTTTTTTGTAAACATAAGCCCATTTGTAAACATCAGTGGCCAGTCCTGCCTGACCCAGTGCCCCTCCGTCCTGACCAGCTGTCTCTAGCTCCCCAGTGTGTGGGGCAGGGAGGGTGTGTGGGGCGGGAGAGGCTGGAACTCTGCCACCCTGCAAGGGAAAAGCTGCCATTTCCCATGTTGTTGTCCTTTAAAGGAAATTCCATTTTTTAAAGTTGTCCACCACCCTTTCATATATTCCTGTGACCCAGGGGTGGAGATATGCTGACCTAAATCAACTGCATGCTAAGTGACTGCAGCAGATCTTGCAGGGAAACCTATTCATGGCCTCCTTCAAAGACAGTCCTGTCCTTTGCCTCGGTCCTGAGAAGGCAGGGGCCTGTGAGGTGTGCAGAAGGCCTGTCATGCACTGCTGGCACAGTCATCCCCAAACTATTTTAACTTCTCTGTTTGGCAAATGCAGGGCTGCTCCAGAAGTGGAAATACACTGCGGTTGCAGGTGGGGGTAGGGCAGAGAGGATTTTGTTTTTAAAAGCACCCATTTAGCCAGGTTTGAGCCCAAGTGCTTTTATGCATTTAATATTCTAAGCAGTCCTAACAGGGTGGTGAGGGCAGAGCCCATGTAATGGCCACTGGCGTCAATGTCTGCAGTGCAATCAGCCCTGGAGCCCCCCAGTTGGGGGTCAGTCACCCAAGACTGCCCCTGTTGAGCCCTCCCTCTGCCTTCAGTTATTAGGAGCCGGGTGTGAGCCCCGATCTTCCGTCCAAGAGACCAGCGGGTCGCGTCTGGGGCCCGGCTGCGACCTTCCCCAGCCGCGGGGCCCTGCCGGGACCTCCCCTCCCACGCCTGCTAGGAGCTGGCCCGGGCGTGCACACGCGCGCTTGTACGTGTGCATGCGCGTATTTGCGCGTGTGCACATGTACGCGCGCGCGCATGTGCATGTGTGTACGTTTAGGCGTGCGTGTTTTTGTGCAGGCGTGTGTATTGGGGGGTGTGTGCACGTGTGCGTCTGTGCATGTGCGCGCGCGCATGTGCATGTGTTTGCGTGCACGCGTGCGTGTTTTTGTGTGTGCGTGTGCATGTGCGCGCGTGTGCGGCGGGGGATGCCAGGGCCCCGGGCCGGGCGGGAAGGGGCGGCGCTAGGGCCCGGGGGCGGCCGCGCGGACATTCCGGCGGGCGCTGCCGGGCGCGGGCGGAGAGTTAACGCGCGGTGCGGGGCAGGGTGGGGAGGCTGATGCGGAGGTTGGCGCGGGGAAGCCCCCAGAGCTCCTAGTGTCTTCACGAGCCCCGTGCCCGGCCTCCCTCTGCCCAGCGGCAGCAAGAGTCACCGCTCCTGGTCACTTCTAGACGAGGCTCGGAGGAGATCAGGGCTGGCAGGGAGGTCACCTCGGCCAGCAGGACTTGCCCCCGCTACGTCAGCCCAGCCCCGGCGGTGTCCAGCCGGGGCTTAACGACCTCCAAGGATGGAGTGAGAGAGCTGGGGGATGCTCCCTGTTGCAAAGTGCTTCTAAAGTCTCCCAGGACCCGATTATTTCCCTGCGTTTTTCCTCTGGAAAAAAGAAAAAAAAAGAATAGCAGCGGAACAGGTCAAGGATAATCGAGGAGTGACCAGAAGTTGGGAGGTATGTTTCCCGGCTGTGTTGAGGGATTAATGTTTCCAGCGTTTGAGGACAGTTTTCTCGATGCTTTAACAGAGAGCGGTGCAACACTGCAGGGATCGTGTCCATCTAAACTTAAGGGCCCGGGACGAGGTGTCTGTGGTAGCAATCGTAGCCTCTCCTTATTTAAAGGGTGGTAGTGCTCGGCTCTGAATTCATTAGAAACGTGCTGTGTCCGACAAATGGTAGCGCATCTGTGTGAGAGGCCAACTGCTCCCTTTGAAACATTTTCATATCAGTAATGGCAGGGGCATTAATAAGGACCCCATCGGTTACTACCCTGCAGTGCACAGACCTGAGAGGGGGTGCGGGAGCATTCGCGAGGATGAGGAGGAAGGAGCTCTTAGGATATGTTTAGCGCTAGGTGAAGATAACGGTCTTTTTGGATGTTTGTGCCTAGCAGGTTTAGTCGGGGTTAAGACGTTATCAACCAGTAGTAATGCCTGTGAAAGGCTTTAGAGAAGCAAAAAGGGATAAGTAAGGTATTTTCTTTTGCAGCCCGGGGGGAAGGGTGGTCAGAAAACTGTTTTAATATTTAGGTTACACGTTAGTAGAGGAAGGTAAAACCTACCGAGGCACAGGACAAATTGATTTGGCTTTAAAGTGATGTCTCAATTCTAGTCCATTTAAAATAAGTTTAAAATGGAATTTTAGATGCTAAACCCTGCTTAAGAGCCTCCTGCTAGTATTTGTGGTTTTACATTTCCCTGTTTAAAAAAAGAAAGTTCTTTTATTTTCTCTTATTGCTATATGAAAGACCCACACAAACGAGTAAAATTGATTGTTTTCACAGCAGAAACAGTGCAAATGACTGCACACAAAGTGCTGTCAAACACTTCACAGAGGAGGAACTGTTACTTGTATCTAATTTGTCAGTCAAGGCATTTATAAAGCCCACATCCCTGTAGGTTCTGAGTGCATATGCTGTAGTAACCTAATTTTACAGTAGTAGATCAAAACAAAAAAACAAGCTTGCGGAGCAGGAGTGATCTGAGGATCCCTTTATTTTTTTGCATGAAAATTTGAGGAGTGTGTATCTGACATCTGTTGCAATTAAAAAAGTACAACTATTTGTAAATACTGGAAGGATTTGTTACTTCAAAGGTGGCCTTGTCAGTATTTTAACAAAAGCTGTTTGTGTGTTGATTGCTTCAAACAGTGAAAAAGTACATAACTCTCCAGTTGCAATGAACTGCTCCTTGAAGCCCATCGCCCTGTACCCCTGCGTGTGATGTCTGAGCATGTACTTTGCTGTGGTGTCACAGCTAATAATAATTTTATAGCTGCCATAGTCCAGGGCTGGCTTCACTAGTGTAGTCTGGTGGCTTGAATGTGGGACTGGGATTTGGGGGACTTTGATTCTATTCCTTGCTTGGCTACTGCTAGCCTGGGTGGGCAACACTGAGCCATTTCCCTCTGCCCTGGGCTCCCCAGCTATAGAATGGGAATAGGATTGTAATATGAGTCTCTTTAATAAAGCAGCTGAGCCTTATAAAGAGCTTTGAGATCTTCAGACAAAAATTGACATAAAACCTAGCTTTTATATAGCATTTTTTTCATCAGTAGATCTCTATAAACACCTTACAATGATTAACTGATTATGCCTCACAGTAAGTGTGGAAATAGCTTTATATTGATCTCGGTAAACTTGTCAAACTCAGTTGGATGAAAGCTACTCCAGAGCTACTATCTGAAGCAGAGCAGAGCAATCCTGAATACCATTTTAGGACAGGAGGTGAAGCACATTGACCTTGCTGTAACTGCAGAGGGAATGTAAATAGGCAGAAAGCAATCACCAAAGTGACCAGAGAAATCCAGTGAATGTCAAATTGGCCAATAGGCACTGTAGAGGGCCTGGCACAATGGGACTGTGACCCACCTTGGTCTCCTGGGCATGACTGTCATGCAAATAGCAACAAGGGGTCAGTCAGTGAGGTTTTTTGGAGGCAGTTTAGTCCAGTGCATGACACACTGGGCTCTGGCTCTGCTTCTAGCTCATGAGACAAAATTGGACAAGTTGTTTCATCTTTCTGTGCCTCAGGTTGCCCCTCCTGTGAGCTGAGTGGTGGTGCCCATCTCCTTCATTCATTGCTTTGACAACCCCGTCTGAATAAACCTGAGTGAGGCATTATTACTGCTATAGTTGTGTGGCCCAGTTTAGCACTGTTTTATATCTGCTGCCTCAAAAGATATTAAGTAATAGAAATGCAAACCTCTGTTTGATGCTGTCTAACAGCCAAACATTCTGGTTTTTGCTGTGACTGTCAGTTTTAAAGGAGCTGTCCTAGTGTCCTGTGGGAATTTTAAAAATCAGGATTTTGTCCTCGTTCAAAATGTTTGTTCTGGGAAAATGTGCGCTAGCAGGCAGCGCCAAACTAAGAAGGGCTGCAGGCTAAACCAGTTTTGCTTTGGAAGGGCCATTTGAAAGCGGCCGTCCTGGGCAGGGGGCTGCATCAGAGGGGCTCACAGGCTCACATTTGGCCTGTGGGCTACACACTGGAACTGTTCGAAACTGTACAGAATATAGTTGGCTCAGTGTTAGTGAGCTCTGCTGAAAGGCAGATCTGCTGGCACATGCACAGCACTAAGTTGGTTACAGTATGTCTGACTTAGGCAGGCTTCCAACCTGGAAGTAGTGTGGCTGCTTCAGTGTGGTGTGGCACATGCCTGAATGCTGGCACCATACTGGGGTGGCATTGTCTTGGTTTGGGCTGTCATCATTCTGTGGCCCCATGGTACTTGCATGCGTGCCTGCAGGGTGGCCTGCCTTCAACTGGAGGGGTGGGCAGTGCCCCCACCTGGATTATTCTGTAGCCTAGTGGTCGGGGAGCTCCTGGGAGAGCCAGATGTTGGGTTTGAGCCCCTCAGGCAGAGGAGGAGATAGGATTCAGGTCTCTTGCTTCCTGGATGACTGTTTTAACCAAGTGGCTCTTGCATCAATGGGTGGTGTGGGGGCGAACAGCTACTGCCAACTCTGTTTTTGAATATATGCTGCTGTGGTTGCTGTGTTGTCTGTATATTAGGTATGTTCAGAGTACACCAAGGGGCTTAAGCTCCTCCCCACTTCATTTCTGGATGGAAATGGGCCTGAGGCTCCGAGCTGCTCAGACTGGTGCAGTTCTGTGCACATGCAAAGACAGAGCTGCGGGCATCTGAAGAACTTTCAGGCCAAAAAAGTTTATAGCGTGTAGCTTAAAAACTGTATGGCCTGTTTCTTTGCTCCCTTGCCGCAGTTTTAGGCTGCTGTTGCTTTACTGAGATCAATGGATCTAGAAGTCTCGCATCTTAGAGTTATAGCTGAATTGGATGACTTTGGGGATGGGCTTGGTTAAGATTATCAGACATTTCAGATCTACCAAGTTGGGTTAATTTTAGTTCTGTAGGACAAAATGGTTGGTCCCAAAAGGAGAGTCTATAGAAAGCCCAAGTCAGATCCTTCAATACTGAAAGGAATTTCACTGCTAGTAGCAACCAGCTTGAATTAAAACTGTATACCCACACACTTATTTGAATTTAGGGATAACAGAGTGGCTGTCTCCTTAACCAGTTAGACAGCATGCCAGTTCTGAGGGGCTCTGGATAGCTCTCAGGTGTGTGGCTGATTTCATGCTGTCCCTATCCGGTGTAAATGCAGGGGTAGTGCTACAGAGATGGTGAGAGGATGTGGGGTGAGGGCAGGGAGCCTACTGAGTAACAAGATAATTGGAAGCGGGAAGACAGCTGTGCTGGCTAATGATCCCTGGATGGAGGAACTGATCTTCATGCCTGGGCTACAAAGAGAATGTGGTCAGTCTGGTTGAATACTGACTTACTGGTATGTGGAGTGTGTGTGGGAGGCAATAAGTGAAGAGAGAGGTTTGAGTGAATGGAAGAGATCAAAGGAGTGTGGGGATGTGTGAATAGGGTGAGACTGGGGAGGAATGCGGGTGAGGTTCTGGGGGGGAACAGGAAGAAGAAAACTTCCTTTTTTTTTTCTTCCTACTTCCTGTAGGGAGGGAGAGGTAGAAAAAGGAGTAGAAGTTGGAGAAGTGGGACCCGAAATTAGCTGCGGCCTGTGAGGAAGAGGGGAAAAGATGCCAAATGCACAGAAGCTGGTGAGCAAATATCCCAGACAGGAGGAGGGTAGAGCACAGAGTGAGTTGGGGAAGAATGAAGGATTGTTCAGGGTGATTTTATAGTTTGAGGATCTGGGATTGCATTTTTGATGCAGAAAACAGAATGACAAGAGGTGGGGGGCCGGGTGAGGGAGAGGGGAATAAGATGACAGGCCATACCTCAGGGGTGGGCAAAATATGGCCCGCGGGCTGAGGCCATTCTATCTGGCCTCCGGGGCCCCTAAAAAATTTAGAAAATTAATATTTATCTACCCTTGGTTCCTGTCAAAAATGACCCAGGGGAAGCCTGGCAGGCTCCCACAACAGCAGGAGTTGCCCAGCCCTGTCCCCCAAACTGGAAGACCCAGTAGGGGCTTCTGGCCTGGGACCAGGTGGTTGCCTTGGCTGAAACTGCAGGGAAGGGGGGAGGGCAGGGGAGGATCCTGGGCAGGGAAGAACCCCAGAGAAAAGCTGAGGGGGGGGAGGGGAAGAGGGAAGCTGTCCCTCCCCAGCTCCATGGCTGCACTGCAGTTGCTCACAGCCCGCATGGGGCTGCTGTGCCTGCTCTGGACAGCCCCATGTGGGCTGCAAGTGGCTGCAGCAGGGAACACCAGCCACGGGGCAGGCGAGGGGCCGCCTTTCCCCCACACTCAACATCAGCTTGTAACCTGGCCCCACTGCCTTGGCCGGAACTGCAGTTGGCCCCCCGGCTTGCCACACCGGGCAGTATTTGCCCCTGTCGCCTCTGTGGCCAACCGTGCGAGCTCTGAGCGTGCAGCAGCAGCCAAAACTGCCTGGCGTGGCTAGCAGGGGGGGCCACAGCTGCTGCTGCTGCTGCTGCATGCAGCCCTGATGGGCGAGTCCAGAGCC